ACACGCCGTAAGCAAAAACGAATAGTCCCTCGTTTTCCTTTTCCATATCTCACTCACACATGCATAAATAAAACAAACTACATATAAGTGTGTGCGTGTACCTGCCGTTTACTCCGCAGAGCGCTGCAGGCATGGCTGCGTATCACCCTGGCGCAGCTTCACTCCGTCGTCCAAGGGCGTCTGATGGCGCACACTGATAATCTTAAGCGCACTATCCGCTATCCTATCCACAGGCTCCCTGCTCACACTCACCTCACCACGCTCAGGGTACTCCACCAGAGTAAACATGAGCGCCGAGTCATCGAGGGCACCATCGTTAAATACGATGGCATGCAGCAGCTTCGTTGTCACGTCATTGAAAGGGACTCCAAGAAGGTTCATGTCCTCCAGAACCCGCATTGACAGGCGGTGGGCATACGGATTGCATTCACCGCACACACGAAGAATATTCGCCAGGTCATTGAAAATGGCGGTATCAAAGGCAGTCTTACCAATACCTTTAATGAACTCCTGGCACTCCTGCATTTGCTTCTGCACCTTTGCAAGCTCCGCCTTCTGCTTGTCAAGGTGATCCTGCTTGAAGGCGGAGAGGCCACGCTTCAGGTCGTCTTTGATATGAAAGTTCTTCAGCTCATAAACGGTGTACTCCTGGTGCGCCAGGCGAGCGGGCAGCATAACCTCCTCATAAAACGTCACAAGTTCCGTGACGCTTTTCCACGCGGTGTTTTTAAACTTCTCCTTTGCGCCGGCAACAGGCGTACGCGCGGCAGCAGCAGCAGCCTTCGCCGTTTTCACTTCTGCCTCAATCTTCGTGACGTCCTCCTCCGCGCCCAAAGTGGCAATCAACGGGGCGAAACGCACGCGTGCGAGGTCAACCTCCGTGAAGAGAATCTCCGCCGGCCTTTGCAGCTGCTCGAGGATGGCGGCAGGAACATTAAACACCTGCGACACCTCCTCCTTCGTCACAGGCGTGCCTAACTTCGCTGATGACTTTGCCAGCGGAACTTTGCGCATGACAGCAGCGGATGCAACAAAACGAAGCAAAAGGCTGCTGCCGCCGCTCACATTGGGAATAAAACGACGCATGAAGTCTGCCAATAAATCCTTCTTCTAACCAACAGGAAGCCCGCAAAAAAAGGAAAAAAAAAAAAAGGAAAGGAACTCAGAAGAGACTGTGCAGTCAGCGGGAAGCCACCACCATTGGCAATGAAATCCCGCAGTTCCCAGCCAAAAATAAACACAGTGAGAAAAATATATATATATATAAGACACACCGCAACAAAACACCGCATCGAATATTCGCCTGCGCTATTGGCCTTATATATTACACTACAAAATAGGACGGGAAAGAAAGAGGGTAAATGAAAAGACAGTGACCCCGCCACTTCCTCTCCGTTTGCTCCATATAAATATATATAGGTGTAAATATTTCTTCCGGATGGCCAACATCGTGGGCCGGTGCACTCTATTCGGGGTGGAGGCATATCGATCACTTGCAAATTGCTCGAGTTTGAGGTCCCCTCCAGCCCATCGGCGCTGCCCCGCCGCAAGGTGGAAATCAACTGAAGACTGAATGGGACAGTAAGAAAAATAAAAATAAAATAAAAAAAGCATCATAAAAACATTTTGTCTTGTCAATACCCGTTCCCGGGATGCCCTCCATCTTGGTCCCTCAAAGAAACCATATATAATAGAAGTGAATCGTACAGAGATAGAGTCGTCTTAACGGGACATGTATTATTAATTCACGTGACCAGCTTTCCTCGCAAATATTCTTTTCATAAGCTCCTATAAATCACTCAATTGTCTTGACACGTCCACGGAACTCCTCCAGAGTCTTGTACCCCTTCCGTGCCATGATCTCCAGCAACTCATCTTCAAGACGCGTAAAAATGCCGGGGCCCTCCTCCTGCAGTGCAGTTCCCACTTGCACCATCGACGCACCGGCAAGTATATGCAAGAAGGCATCCTCGCCGCTGTAAACGCCGCCGCAGCCAAAGACCAACTTATCCGGACAACGGCGGTAGAATGCATTCACGTTCGCCAGCGCTGTAGGGAAGATATACTTGCCCGCAAGACCACCAAAACCCTTGTTTTGGGTTTGATGACAACAGACTCACTCTCCGCATCAATAACAAGGCCGTTGCCGACACTGTTTACACACGTCACAAACTTGACAAGTGGGAACTCATTCAAGACAGCAGCAGCCGTATCAAAGTGTGCAATATCGAAGTACGGCGGCATCTTCACCCCAAAGGGCAATCCATATGCCAACGACACCTGCTGCAAGTAAGTGCGCATCGCCTCAAAGTCATAGGCCACCTGCGGTTTGCCGGGCACATTCGGGCAGGAAAGATTCAACTCCAACAATACACCTTTTTCCTGCGCCACAGGGGCAAGGCGGCGCACCATCGCCACATTCTCCTCCACGGAAAGACCTGAAATGGAGAGAAAAAGCGGCTTCTTGCTGTAATCGTGCAGATCGCTTGCGTATTTCAAATAGAAATCAAAGCCCAGGTTAGGCAGCCCCATAGAATTGATGCTCCCAAGTGGAACGGCCATGTAACGCGGCTCGGGGTTACCATCGCGAGGTGCACTCGTGCAGCTCTTCGACACAAGTGCGCCGCTGGAGGAGGCTGTCATGCAGCGCAGGTCTTCCTCGGTGCTGCAGAGAACACCCGCGGCGTTCATGAAGGGGTTGGCAAACACATGGTCGAGGAGATTGAGTTTCAGACGCATCATCTTCTGCGTAGCGTACACCCTGACAAGGGGAAAAAAAGACAACAAAAAAACACCACCACAACAACAACAACACCGCAGTTCAATCAGCCGCTCCGTGGGAACAAAAAAAAAAAGACATATATAGAGAGAGGCCATGGCAACAGAATTCAAGTTCCATCCCCCACCTCCCGGTTCCACGCCACTCGTTTCTTTACATCCTCCGTCCCAAACTACATCGAATCCTCTCGCACCCTCCACTCACACATGTCTCCTTGAGGCAAAATCCCTCACCACCCACCCCAAGCACACGCGCATATATATATATAATAAAAGAAAAATAGAAAATAACAACAAATGGGCAAAGGAAGCCCTTATTGTTATTGTTGTTGTTCCGACCATATATTTCCGTGACTGTTCCTGTGTAACTGTAAAAATGCCAATTGGTTAATTTGAAACGGTCATTTTTATGCCCGTCAATAGCCCTACACATTTCGTTCGTTTTATTTTCGTCATATATGTGTTTTGGGTGGTTGTGGTTTAAACCTTCGGCTACGTTTTGCGTTCGATCACACACCCTCTCAGTTCTTTTATTTTTTCCTTTTTCTTTTTCCCTCCTATTTGGCTGTTGTTGTTGTTTTATTCGTAACGAAACAAAAAAAAAAAAAAAAAAGGAACAGTCACACATCAAATAGCCATGGCGTTAGTTAAACCATCTTCCCCCGCGGCACACAAGAGTATAGATCTCCCATACATTTCCCCCACCTCCTTCACGCCAAAACGCTCCACAAAATGGCCATGCGCATAAACATGCCGTACCGCATTTGTCTAAAGTAGGCAGCACGTGGGTCTGTGTCAACGGTAGTGCTTAACTCGTCATTGCGCGGCAGCGGATGCATAACAATCATTTTTTCCTTCGCCAGCCTCATACGTGCCGCGTCGATGGTGATGTCGGCTTTCGCCGCCGCAAATGACTGCAACGCCGCCGCATCATCGCTCGTGGAAGCCATAAACCGTTCCTTCTGCAGACGCGTTGTGTACAACACATCACTCGTCTGCATGACCTCATCTGTCAGTGCGTGTGCGCGGTGAATTATCACTCCCTTCGTGGCGATCTCGTGTTGCAGGGACTCCAGCACATCCTTCGGCATCTGCAGTGCGTCCGGGGCGACAAGAAACACGCATTTAATAGAAAAGTTGCGCACAAGAAGCTTCAAAAGAGAGTGCACCGTTCGCCCCATCTTCAGGTCTCCGATCAGCGCGATGGTGATGCCGTCTACGCTGCCCAATTCCGAATGAATCGTCAGCGTGTCCAGAAGCGCCTGCGTTGGGTGTTCGCCAGACCCATTGCCCGCATTCAGAATGGGATGCTGCGCCACGGAGAGGGCCTCTTCAATCGCGTCCTGCCTTGGATGCCGCATCACCAGCACGTCGCTGTAAGAGTCCAGTGTGCGAATGGTGTCGGCGAGGGTCTCGCCCTTGTTGATGGATGACGCCTCGAACTTAAAGTTCACCACGCTCCCACCAAGTCGAATCATCGCGGCACAAAAGGAACTGAAAGTGCGAGAGGAATCCTCAAAAAAAAGTGGCGTCATGATGCGGCCCTGCAGGAGATTCAGCACCTCTCCCGCATCAATCTTACGCTGCATGGCACCTGCAAGATGAATCAGCGCGTAGATATCCGCACGACTGAACTGCTCGGCACTTGTGATGCTTTTGCCCTTCAGGCTCGCTACTGGCGGCACTTCCAACATGGGCACCAACAAATATGCCTTCACCCTCTACTTATGTATATGTGTATGCGCAATAGATCTCTCTTCTTTTTAAGACTAAAAAGGAGTGGAGAAAAGAATTCCTTCAAACGCCCGAAACCACAATGCATAAACACCAAATACCTCCCTCCTCTCTCTTCACGCACGGTGGCAGCACACAAAAATCCACAAAGCAAAACAAAAGAAAAGAAAAACACGGCGGCAGGGTGTGGCTGTGTGTGTGACGCTGCGGGTGTCTGCCCGCCCTGACCGCAAAGAAAACAAAACAAGAGGGAAGAAATGTGTGCTCCGCCCCACAGGCCCTCGTCGCACGCCCACACGTCACGGCTCCCTCAGCGCGCCGTTCGTCGCGGCCCCTCCTCATGCGTGCAGCAGGCGAGGCGCACAGGGCCGTCGTCACGAGCGTGTCGGTGGGTGTGCGAGTGGAGCAGTTGGGCGGGAAACACACGGCACCCCTCGCAGGAAGAGTGTAGCAATAAATAATTAAAAGAGTAGAAAAGAAAAAAACGTCCATAGTGATTGTCCTAAAAGCAAAAAAAAAAAAAGATATGGGAGAATGAAAAATAAAAAAAAAGACGAAAATAAATAACCGAAAAAAATGTTTTTAAGGACACACACGCGCAACACGCAAAAAAATTATGAATTACAAAAAGAAAGCAAGAAAAGAAAATTATCTTAAGGAAAAAGTTAGTTCTTGGAATTAATTCCGTGCAGGGGAGGTCGCAAGTGCTCCACGCGGCCGCCAGTCACGCCTCACAGAGCCGCAAACCCCCACAGTCCCAACAGAAGAAGAGATGGCAGCAGTCCGCTCTCACACATGGTGCAGGCATCGCTGTTATTCCCCTGCGACACATTTCCAAGACTGTTGCTGAGGGCCGCAGCCTTTACGTCCCCGTTCTGTGCGTGGATCTCCTCCTTCTCTCGCCCATCCGTTCCTCCTTCTCTTGTCCCCACCGTTGGCTCGCCATCAGAAAAAGAACCGCCACCCACAGTTTGAGTTCCATCGGAAGATTTTCCTGACGCCACCTGCTGTAAGGAGTCCTTTACTGCTGAAGGAGTACTGACAGTGGGCACCGCTGATGGTGATGCACCGCCACTGCCCGCACCACTGCTGCCCAACGACTGTCCCCGTTCCGTCAGATGGCTTCCGTCAAGAGCAGACTAAGCTCCGGTTTCCTGAGCATTCGGGCTGAAGGCGGCGATCTCCGCTTCATCCAACGGGCGGTTGTACAGCAGGACGTTCGTCACAGTCACAGACACTTCTTTGTCTGCGTTTTCTCCATCCCCTCCAATGTAGAAGTGGGAGATCTCTTTCGACGCACCATTTCCCAATGCACATTCTTCACTCCCCACACGCTGACCATCGACGTACACGGAGCCCTGGGTGCCGTTCTTCAACAAAACCACCACGCGTTGAGGTGTCCCTGTCATCCACGTGCTGCTGGGCTCCTTAGGGGTTTTGTCACCGCACAGTACATGCCACTTCTTTTCGCTGTCGTACGACAGTCCCAGCAGCACATTATTTTCATCGCCACTACTGCCCGCACGCACACCCATCAACGGAATTGGGGTGTTTCCCTCCGACATTTTGTCGATGGACACCGTCGCCACAAGAGTGAAGTTGTAGTTCGCAAAGTGGTACAGCTGATTCTCCCCCTGCTTGCCAACAGGCCACTCCGCCCCTGCACCACGCCCAGTGAACGTCACGCCATCGGAGGGCCCTGTCGCCGCTGTTGCCCCTTGTTTATTATTTACTGTGGCGTTCACCCCGAGGTACTCGTCCCTCCATGTGTCACCGGAGAAGTTGCCGGACAAAAAGCCAACCAGCCCAGCCGTGATCTTATCAGCGTTGCAGACATCGCCGGTAGAGGGATCCTTCTCAGCACTTAATGAGGTGCACAGGTTGGAGACACGGCCGTCCACCTCCTTCCAGGTCGCCAGCACCTCCTTCACACGCTGCAGCTGCTCTGTCAAAAGCACAGAGACCATACCGGGTGATGGTTTCACATCGTTGCCCTTCTTCCTTTCGTACAGTGCAATCAACCTCTCATCATTAGTGTTTTCACCACTGTTGTACAACAGGGAGCTGGCGGCAGCGTCATCTTCACCGGATACCGGCCCAATATCAACAATGTGCGTATTGTCCGTCAGCCAAAGATGGAGTTTGCCCTTTTCGTTCTCAACCTTCTCTGAATACACCGGCAGGGTGACGAGCATCACATTCCTCTTATCACCATCATTTCCAACAGTCGCTGTGATGAAACCGCTTCTAACGCCACTTACGCCCTTTTTGTTGTTGCCCCACACGCGCGAGAGTGTCCCGAGCGCCTCCGTCCACGACTCCCCCTTGTCACCGGACTCGTACACCCTGCGGCGGCCACCATCACACGCAGTCATCATCATGAGTTTTCCCTCCTCCCACTCCACGACGGAGGGATCACTGCAGCCACCGTCAGACATCCCCTTCGACAGCGTCCAATTCGCAGTATCCTTGGAGGAGTGTATGATCAGTGAGACAGTCTTCACACCCTCTTCAGCGTCCTCCGCCTTCTTCGTGCCTTCCACAGGAAATACAAGAGTCTCATCCTTCATCTCAACACCCGATCCACCGCTTCCAATCAGCCTTGTCCAGGAATCGAGCTGTGCGCCACAAAGTCCTTGCGGGGGATTTTCAGTAACTTTCCAGTCAATTTTTTTGTTATTTGTACCCTCACCACTGACGCTCCCTTTCACCAGCAAAAGTTCACAGCCGCCTGCACCACTGTTCTGACAATCTTTACTGCCGTACTGTCCAACAAGCATGTAAATATCATTCCCCTTCAAAACTGTTGTTGGTCGACTCACATCTACTTTCTTCTTTTGACCTCCGGAAGCATCTTCCTCGAGTACTTTTGTCCAATCTTTGGATTCTTTCAGAACTTCCTCCGGTGTGTCTTAGCAGTTTCTGTCGTGAGAGGTTGGGATGCAACGCCAGTAAAACTGACACCACCGTTCTTCTTGCACTGCGCCTCGGCAACGGCAAACACGTCATTCCCGACTTTTAGAAGGCTGGGAGCACCCAACGACTCCACAGTTTCACCTCCACTCTCATTGATGCCCCTCCATTTAAACTGGAGACCAGACAACGGCTCCTCCACAACAACTTGTGCAGCTCCACTGCCGCAGCACACCATCACGACGAGGAGGAGCACCGCAGGGTAGAAGAGATGCCGGGACATGTTGGGCCTCTGCGACTCACTCTCTCCTCCTTCCCTCCTCCTCCCGCTGGATCCAGTCACGCGGCGACGGTTGTGTGTGCGGGGTGCCTCCACTGCAGCAACACGTGAGAGCATACAAATATGTGTGTGTGGGCGGTGTGTGTGCTGTTGGTCCTTTCAGTGCCTTACA